TCCTATCACCGGTACGTTTTCTTGTAGTAGATTGTGGGCTAGTATGAGTATTTGAACTTGTCAAATATTGGAACATTGGAATTGATATTTGATTTTCTGTAATGGCGTTATTTAACATTGGAAAAATAGTATTTTCTCTAATCATATAATTCTGTGTCAATGGAAAAGACGTGAGCGTTGACTGTGGTTGATCTTTTAGGATTTTTAATGTTTTGAAGCGTATACTTGAATTTTTATGGTGTGTTATACGTAACTTATTATTTGGTGTTATAAATTTGTCTGATTCAGCTGAAAAAAAATTGCTTTGTTTCTTATATCGCAAAGTAGTGATATATTCTTTTGTAGATAATACAGATTTATTGGAACGTACACTTGAAATAAAACTAGGAACAGAAGTGTTTGACCACTTGCTGTTATTCATATTAGTGTGTATAGACGTTGTTCTATTTGTTTTAACGACATTATTTTTTGTATCCTCTTTCTGTGAAGTAGCATATAGGGTTTTTTTAATTTTCAGATTTTTTTCTAACACTTTAGATTTATTGAAAAAGATTTTGTCATCCAAGAATTTATCTGAGTTCCTAATTATTGGTTTTGTTTCATAAAGGTTTGCTTTTATATTTCCTTGACTCATTAACTTTTTGTTTTTTTGGTAGTTGGTATTTGTGCGATGAGTAACATTTTCTGTAAAATTAATCATTTTGTAGTAAATTGATGCATTATTATATTCAGTATTATTTTCAATGTAATGTTTATCAGTAGCTGATGGAAAACTAATCGTTGTAAAAGAGGAAGCATTTGTTAATCGATTTAACTTTAGATATTTATCGCCCAAGGTAGAATCAATTGCAGTCGATGATTTATTATTATAACTACTATTGGAAAGCTCCAACAATATGGATTTATCTCTGATTTCTTTATATTTTTTATTTATCTCTAAAACATTTTGTGCTTTAAATTCAGTTTTTGGCTTTGTGAAAAAAAATAATGAAGTTGTAATTTTGGAAGTTGTTTGTTCGGTCTTCGGCAGTATGATTAAATGAGTTACTGGTAAATGAAAGGTATTTTCGGATACTTTGCTTCTCAAATTCTGTGATTCTGTAGAACCCACAATCTTCTTTGTAAATGTGGGTATGTATTTTACATTTCCAGTTGTTTTCGAAGATGGAGGTTCTTGTTTTTTCACATTGTGATTTAAAATTTTGTTAAAATTTGGTTCTCCCAGATTTGTTGCCACTCTTGATGATTCATCACTTTTGATATTTCTTATGAAAATAGTAGATTCGTCCAAAGTGTTAGTTGTAGTTATTTTTATGTCATCTATTTTGTCAGATATTGCTATAAAATATTTCAATGGTTTATAAAAAGATTTGTTTTTCTGCAGGCTAGTGTCTGAACCATTTGGTGTCTTTATCTTGTAGATTTTCCTAATTCTGATTTCTGATTTAATTGTTTCATTATAATTATTATATATTGACCTATTGTCAAGGAGTCTGTTCGAAATTAAGTTTCGTAAAGTGTTGTAAGATGAATTACTTTTAACATTAGGTCTATAAAGTTCATTTCTCATAGCTACGTCATTACTATTTGTAATTTGTGTTTTATTTTGTAACGTCGCATTAAAACGGTGTAATAAATTTATGTCTATTATATTATTTATTAGCGTTGTTTTGACAGCACGAAAACCTTCCGATGATTTTGCATTATATCGTAATAAACTGTAGTTTAATTTTGGGGTTGCATAATAAGTTTTTGTGGAATCGGAGCTCGGCCCTTCAGTATTCTGTGGATGCTTTTGTAAAACGTCTTTACCATTCCACTTGTCTTTCGCATTGTACAGGTTGTGTGTTATATTTAAATATAATTCTCTATCTGGCGTTGAAGTTTTTAATGTATATCTACTTGCGCTTGATATAAGACTTTCATTTTTCTGTAAAGGCTCAGTTGGTATTTCAGAAACAAGAAAAATGGCATGCTTGTTACTGTTTGAAACGTTTCTGATCAAGTTTGGGTTAACTGTATCACGCATGGTTGTTGATTCTATCTTCTTTTTTATATAATTTAAATTGTTAGATATCTTGTCCGTGACAGGAATGTTACTTATATCTTCAGAGGTTTCCCTACCCACAAACCTTTTCGTCTTTTGTTCTATTGCAGAAAAATCACTGGTTTGAAGAAGATCTATATTTAGTTTAGTTGTATTGCTCTTCAATGTTTTATTAATTCTTATTTCAAAAATGGACGTGATTCCTTCTTCAGGTTTAGAGTTTGTCACATTTTTAGACTTCATTAAACTCACCAAAGTACTATAACCGTAAGATTTCTTTATTCCGGTGTCAACAATGTTTTTTTCAGTATACATCAAATGTTGGGCTAAGCCAAATTTTGGTGTTGTGCTTAGTATATTTTTTAATGTGGGTGTGAAATTGGCGACATTGTAATGTTGACTAGTGTACATTCTTTTTTGACTGACTGATGAATTTACTCTTAAGTTTTCTTTGTATCTAAAATTAGCTGTAATCGAACTTATCAAATCATTTGACGTCGTTATTTTGTTTTGGTGGTGTTTTTCATTTGTGTTAGTACTTGGTGAGTTATGGCTATTTAACAACAAGTTGTCAAATGAATTAAGCACATATTTATTTGATATTTTTGTTAATTGGACCGGTTTAAAAGCCTCAGTCTTTTCAGTTTTAGAAGACATCCTTATTTGGCTTGTTATATGATCATAGGTTCGATATTTATTCATTTTTAATGGTTCTTTCACTACCGAAATTGGATCTAACTTTCGGACATAATCCCGTAATTTTCCAATAGGACGTTTATTCATTCTTACGAGCAAATTAGATGAATTTTTGAATACATAAACTTTTTTTTCATTCTCAATTTTGTTCAGTGATTCAGATTTTTCGTCAGTATTTTTTCTTGCAGTATTTGCATTTAAAGTAGGTGTCTCCTTTTCATCTTGCGTATTTTTTTCTTTTTTCCAATTTAAGGAATGCTTATATTTATCTGTGGTTAATTGCAATTGTTTTATGGTTTCTTTCGAAAAAACTTCATTTCTAAGCGGACTATTTTCATACTTGTTTACGAATTTTTTAATTTCGGTAATGGTTTTGAGAAGTTCATTTCTGTTAAAATAACTTAAATCACTTTTATTCATAAATGATTGACAAATATCATCATTATATCTCTCACAGCATTTATTCATATAATACATATAACTTTTTGATGTTGTCACGTGTACATAAACTTTAACTGTGGCCTTTTTTTTCATCACCTTAAATACCTTTATTGAATTGTTATTAGCACTTTCTAAAAGAAACCGATAAATTGACTTTAGTTGACAGTCGCTAGTGATATTTTCTTTCAGTTTTGTTTTACTTTCTTGTTTAAATGAAGGATCTGCGGTTTCATAAATATCTATGTCTATTGGTGATTTAGTATATAGTGTTAAGTTCAACTCGTTATCGGATACTCTTGAAGATATATTATAACTTTTAATTTTTGCTGTTTTTGCTGGGTGTAGAGACAATATAATAATAACTTCTCGTTCCGTATCAGAAGCGAGTGCTGGATGTGATTTTTTGAATAAATTATTTAATTTTATATTGTAATTATGTAACTGCTTTGTCTCAATAAAGATTTTAAACAAAATATCACTCAACTTTGATCTTATGTCATTCCATATCACTTGTTTTATTTTAGACATCTCAGTTACTTTTTCTGTAGTGATTCCTATATCTTTGCTACAAGCAGATGATTTTATTAGCCTTTCGTTAGTATCATAGTTTATAGCCATTCCACGCATTTTGTTCACTTTACGGAGTAAATCTTCTCTTAGGTCAAAACAGGTGCTGTTGTACATTTTTGTGTATAAATCAAGGACGTCTTTACCAGACGTTCGAGCATTATTTTCAATTTGTATATTATTAAGAACACCAGTAAACACATTGTCCTTCTTATCATATAACGTTTCACGCATACAAACACACAAACTTTTTAAAAGTTTCAATGTCACATCCAATAAATGTTCATCATTTGTCGCTTCATCTACAGATTGAAATAGTCTCATCCACACCGGCCTGTCATTAACACTTGTCACTAAGAAATTATTCACAGTCGGATACATTAGGTAAAATAACAGGACGTATAACTTGGCATTAATCATCGTAATACAAATTTTGTTTCTTTTTTACTAGTTATGTTCGGCATGTTTGCAATTTCACGTTAACCGCAGAACAATACTGTTCGAGAAACATCATTGTTTAAGGTTGTGCTACTGAAAAGCGTACCGTTTCAAATAAGATAAACATCGGGAATATGTTTGATTGTTTACACTTGGGTTAGTATTGATTTGCTTAGTTTTAGCACTGATGTTTTTTTTAGTTCAATTGCATAAAGTGAATGGTAACCAAAAAATATTAACGTTTGCTTAATATGCATTCTTGTGACATTAATTTGGACTTACTAATGAACGATTTGCCAAGAGGGGCAGGGCATATGAGATTTTTCACTCCAATAAAAACGCTTGAAAAGAAAAGTGAAATAACGCTACTTTTTTATGGTTTTGAATAAAACTGAAACGATTTTTTTTCTGCCGCATTAGCTATCCTCACCGGCTTAGCTCTTCCATGAATCCTCGGACCAGACCTCGCATCTGCTCCATAATCTTCTGACTAATTCTCTCTCTAAAAGAAATTTGAAGAAGTTTCTTCTACTTAACCAATTGTCCATCTTTCTTTGCCGGTCCAGCAGTTTCCCCTAAAACCTAGGTCTCAGCTCCTCCATTTACCCTCGCACAAGGCCTCAACTTTGCTACATCTTCTTCTGACTGATTCCCTGTAAGTTTTTCTACTTACCCAATTGTCCATTCCTCTCTCCCGGTCAAGCAGCGTCTCTTGTAGCCTGGGGCCCAGCTCCTTCACTAACCCTCGCGCCAGCCCTGAACTTTACTCCATCTTCTTCTGACTAATTCCCTACAAGTTTTGATATCTTACCCAATTGACCATATCTCCCTGTTGGTCTAGCAGTGTCTCCTGCAGCCTGGGGCCCATCTCTTTCATGAACCCCGACATCAGCTCTTGAGTGTGTTCCATCTTTTGACTAATCCTAAGGATCTTCTTGTAACTTATTCTCTACAAATTTTTTCTTCTCACCCAATTGTCCGTCTCTTTCTGTCGATCCAGCAGTGCCTCTTGCAGCCTGGGGCCCAACTCTTCCATGAAGCCTCGCACCAGGCCTCGCGTGTGCTCCACCTGCTGGGGGCTGACCACCACCGCCGCGAACTCCAGGTACGACTCCATCGTAGCCTGAAGGTCGGGCACCGGCAGCTTCGGCAGTTGCACATTCTGCGAAGAAATTAACTTTAAGAGCCTGCGCTGCGTTAAGCGGGCATCCGCTCCGAGTGTTTGTTTCATGTTATTTTATAGAGCAACGCTGCGTCAGGCGAGTCCCCGCGCAGCGCTTTTTTAAATAGTGCACGCGGAGCGGATGTCCACTCCGTGCTCCCGCTCAAAGCAGCGCAGGCCGCAATTTGAAATTGCATTAATAAAACGTGTAGATGCTTTAAACAGTGAACTAGGTAGCCAGAATTATTTAAGCACAAGAATGTGGTAGGCTACAATTATCCAAAGTATTTTAAGCATATACAAGGTTATCGTAATGGTCGCTTGACATTAGCCAATCTTGTGCTTGCCTATCACATGCCTTATTTTCGCTGTCGTTGATCTAATAAAAATACCACTACACCGTAAAACTATGGTACTGATAATATACCTACACGTTTTTAAGTCTCAAAAAACCAACTTCCACATGCGGTTACATGACATAATTTTGATCATTTAAGCAAATCGATAAAATCATGAAATTGGCACCTGAAACTCATCATCGTCTGCACTGTAGCCCTGCGTGCTCAGCCATCGCTTCGGGAGCGACAACAGCGACTCAGCTGTAACAATAAAAATATTTAAACATTTCAATATGGTATTTCAGTCTTTGTAGAGCTTTGAAAGCTCGATGGTGCAATGGCTAGCGCGTTCCGAGTGCCCAATAACTTATTTTTAAGGCACGCTAAACCACGTAACACAGCAAAAGGTTAGAAGGCCATTGTGGGCGGGGCAGTCGCGCCACAGTTATCTGTGAGCAAATGCTCATAACTTGACCAAAACTTGATTCTGATTGCGCCGTTGCTCTCGGCTGTGAGCGCCGATTGGTTCGATTGTTTGATGTCGCGTCGTTTGATTGACTATTATCCATTAAGTAGAAGTGGGGCAAGCCGGCGACATCGGTTCCTTTATAAACAGTCTAAGATCAATCTTCTAACCTCTTTCTGTGTTCTGTGGGGGGTTTCGGCTGTATCTGCAGTGGTCATCATCAGCCTATTAATGTCCCCACTGCTGGGGCACAGGCCTTCCTTATGGATGGAATTGGGAGATTGGGCCGTGACCCACCACGCGGGCCCAGTGCGGATTGGTGAGTGCTAACGACTGCAGATGCAGCCGGGACCAACGGCTTAGCGTGCCTTCCGAAGCACGGAGGAGCTCGAGATAGTAAATTTTTGGTCACCCATCCAATGACCGACCACTGCGAAAGTTGCTTAACTTCAACGATCGCGGCCGAACGCGCTAACCACTTGCGCCATCGAGCTCCCCTGCAGTGGTAATCGCCCATATATCTGCACTGATTAAGCGTAGAAGGTATTTACATGCCTGAACCGAATGAAATATATTGATTCCTTATGTTTTCACGCACACAACTCATCAAATAAAACATGTTTATAATCGTACACTTCAGAACGAAACGAAAGATTCGAAAAGTAGAAATATGTATAAAAGATATATAAAGTGACAACGTTTATTTAAAAGATATTGGATTTGAATATGAGAAAGTATCTGTACCAATCATATTAACGGGTTTTTCTCACTTTGTATTGTAGGCATCGGACTAACGCATTATACAATTTCGAAGTGATTTACCCAAATTATTATTGTGATTTAGTCACGTTATGTTCGAGAGAAAACCTGTTTTTAATGTAACCTGAGAATGTTCGTTATCGATTTTAATTGCTACTGTGTCGATTGTGATCTTAATTAAAGTCAACGAAGAATTATTTACGCCAACAACGAGCCATTGTGCCCTAACTTGTTCGTTGATGGAATCACAAAGTACTTAAGGCGAGCGACTAACAGAATATTAGTTTTTTAAAAATAACTTAAGTATAATGAATTTTTTTTCTAGAAAAAATACCCACGCTAGCCAGGCAGAGCCCGCACCCTCCGCTAAAATTTGCTTTAAATTTAAACAACTAGCACTTAATATTATGAGTAATCACTTAGGTACTCATATCATCATCATTAGCCTATTAATGTCACCACTGCCTTCCTTAAGGATGGAATAGGGAGGCTAGTTACTCATATATTGAATGTTTCTATGAAACTTCGTGAGATTGTTGGGTTACGTGTATAGAGTATGCTTGATTTTTTTCGGATTTTTTTGAAGTATATTTTTTTCATGTATTTATTTATAATTTGTGTATTTTTATGTCCTTTCCTCCTTTTGATTTCCTTTCCTCCTTTTGTTATTCATTCATTTTATGTCCTTTCCTCCTTTTGTTATTCATTTTAAACAAACAAACTTACACATGCAGTGAAAAACAACTAATAAATAAGCACTTCTAAAAAACGGAAAAACATTAAAATTCCACCGAGGGTCAACGACCGACCGCGCCAGCCAGCCGTTGAGTGAGTAGGTACCTCTACACAGAGCTTAGCTGACTCCTTTGATTCCACACAATACAAAAAAATCGTCTTAGATGCCTTTATTGAAATTATAATAATAAGCACAAATGTCATCTTCTCTTAAGCAGAGAAAAACTTTAAAAGTTAATTATAATTTTGACACGATTTTAAATAGGCAAATGTTAAACAAAAAGAAATACTTATTGCAGTTCAATACTTGGGTCAGAATGAAATTTATAACCAGGTATTCAAAAGTACTTACGAGACCGGCGATGTAGGTAGGTACAACGAGGAACGAGGAACATATTCATTTTTTTCACTAAAACTTTTTATCAAAGCAATCACACTGGTAGTACACAATTAGTTGTTTCAAATCAAAAAGTATTTACACTAGCAATAAAAAGAGACTTAAATTATTATCTGCAAAATTGTTGCTCTAAACCACCATTTTGCTGCAAACAAAGGTAGGCACGTTTGCGGACGTGTCTTTTCACCTTTTTTAAAGTGTCCCTATCACTCTCACTCACTGCACAAAATGCAACTTCTATGGTTTGGGGACTCATTCGTAAACCAAACCTACTTCGTCACACTCGCGATAGCAGTACACCATCTCTAAATATTCTTGGTTCGTATACCGAGGTATAATGAAATTATCACAGTGTATGTCACTAAGTCAAAAGATGCGCACGCCCACGCGCGATTGATATACTTGGACTGCGCTTTGCATGCAATCAAAGCAAACCACCGCGTGCGGGGAAGAGGGGAGGTGGGCGGAATTCACATCATCAAAGACGCCGCAGCCGGCACTAGCATGTTTCTTGCCAGCGTGCGGCGCGCCGCCCGCCCGTGCTTGCCGCAAAACAACATATTATTATATGTGTGTGTGTGACTGTGGCTGTGATTAAATGTGTTCGGAATTTCATGACGTGGGCAAATCAGACACGAAGAGTTCCTTCCTTCACTAAGCTCGTAAGTTATACCGATTTGCTCTGTATGATTTTTCCCAATTTTAAATAAGCCGTTTGTGCTTAAGTTTTAATTAAACGAGGCAACTAACATTAACAATAAAAAAGAAGTTCTTACACTAACAGACAGGCTTTACCGATTTAAAATCGTGACAGTCATATTAACTTTATAGGATTTTTAATTGCTCTAACAAAAGATTTATTTTAATGATTAATTACCTGTGCTTTATGAAATAATATTCAAAGGTATTGTGTATCAGTGAATAAATAATTATAATATAGCATCTAAGACTATTTTATTGTAATGTTTTTAAATAGTGTGGAATCAAAGCGGAGAGTAGGTAAGCGGCGAGTTATCTGTGCGTGTAGTAGGTACTGTAGAGTTCTACCCAGAAGGGATAGAACCTGGGAGCGTAGATGTTAATTGAAAGATACTGATAGAGATAAGTTATTTATTTTGTTTTATCATTCAGGCTAATATAAAAGTATTTTATCTAAATACGAGAGGAATTCTTGGCACCTGAAGATCTAATAATCAATGGAACCTTCTATCAAAAGACAGACGATTCCTTATTTCAAATCTTAAAATCATGACATTAACTTTTTAATATAACTGCCAACCGTAGGCATTGCAAAAGCAAAGAGTTTACCTAAACAAGGAGGTTGTAACATCACGGACGTTACATCCCTCCGGCACCTCTAAAAAAAAAATTGTTTTGTCATACCAGATGACCGAACAAAATTTTTTTTTCCTACCTACTACATCGAGAGGGTTCGATGGTCCTATCTAAAATCCCTACCTGCTTAAGGACATAAATACAACTGGGAGGTGGCCTTTACTACAGACTAGCCCTCACAATAAGTTTGCAAAACTTGCAAAAAAAAAAAAAAACTTTACGGGAAAAGAACCCTAACTGTTTGCAAAGTTTTATTGCAAAGACTTTACGGGAGCAAAACCTTAACAAAATCCCTCGCACATCTCCCTCCTAACCTTAACTTTACTTTACTTTACATCGACATCAGTCGGCAAAAACAAAAAAACAAAGCTAACCCTAGCTATAACTTAAATTACCCAAGCAATTTTTTTTTATCCCATCTATCAGCAAAACTTTACCCTATCCCATTTATTAAACCATTAAATATCAAGAAAATTTATATTTTGAAACTTCATTACTTCCCATACTAAGTAGATGTACGAAACGAAATTCAAACTATTTCCTAAGATTCGTAAACATTGAACTGGATTTGAGCAAAACCTAAAAGAATTTATAATTAATGTTTACTTTCGTACATCTTTAATAAAGATACAGACGTGATCCACCACTTTATTGTCTTGTACTTTATTAGACACCCATGATGCGCAAACGTAATAGAAATTTTGGGTAAGGACATCTAGCATCAAACAAGATTAAACCCAATTCCCATGGAATACTAAGGGTTCCCTACCCCCAAGTCAAACTACTACAAGTGACGATTTTGACGAACGCGACGCGACCAAATTGAAACGAAAACGACGCGAATTCGTAGAGGGTGTCTCCATCATCTTCAGGGTGGATCATCGTCAGTATCGCTGACGTCTGCATGAGCGCCAGCCTGCTCTCTCTCGGGAAGTCCGCATCATGTGGTAGTACATAAAACAATCAAGAAAATATTAGTAAAATTCTTTACACCATTTTTCTTCAGTCGGGTAAGTTAATATTCAAGAAAACATTTATGATAAATCTTTATAGCCTCTTTTCCATAGTTGGATAAATTTTCAAAGTATAACATTATTATTCATTTATTTATTTTTTTAACCTTACAGGGAATCGAACCCGTTTCCTTTTTTATAATAAGGGAATTTTCTTTATGGACCTATATTATCCTATTATACATTATTAACTATATATACTCTATCCTAATGCTGAATTAATCCTATCAATGATCATATTCAAAGTCAATTGAATAATTCCAAGTTGAACAGAGAATCGAACCTGTTACCTATCATTCTTATGGTTATTACAATATCAATAATCCACCTACTCAACAAATTACACTAAAGCTAATAATTAAAAGAAATGAAAATACTTTAATGAAACTAACTATTAATCTGTCATAAACAAAATGTGTAAAAGTTCCTTACAATATGTTTATTGATATGCTTTTGAAATAAAGTTCTAAAATGACTATTGTATTGAACCTTATTTACATACCACCATTGCTTTAAAACATTCATATAAACAATAAACTGAAATAAAATCTCATTA